TCTGCAGGACCTGACCAGTAAAAACAGTGCCAACCTGTCCCAAGCTGGTATGAATAAATCTGAACTCTGTAGAAATGAGAGTTACCCACCTAACCAAGGTCACCAAATGAACTTCTCTGTAGAGCACTCATTTAAGAATACATACAAAATATCCTAAATGGGATTTTACATGTGTATCATTTTAAAAAATGATAATCTGAGCAATTGCTTAAAATTTAGAGCAAAAAAAAAAAATTCCTTTAGGGAGGCGTCCTTACCCAGTCAGTGTCCACACATGGGAATCCTGAGGCAGAGGATGAACCAGTTGCAGAAAGGCAGAGAGAGGGCTGAGGCTGTGGCTCAGCGGTAGAGTGCCTGCCTAGCACATGCGAGGCACTGGGTTTGATCCTCAGCACCACATAAAAATAAAAACAAATGAAAGTAAAGGTATTGTGTCCAACTACAACTAAAAAAGTATTAAAAGAAAAGAAAGAAAGGCAGAAAGGTTCTTGGTTTTATTATCTCTGCCTTCTCCTCAGAGAGTGAACTTCCTTGAAGTCTTCACTGGGAACTTTCATCCCTCGTTCTAGGTGTCACTGCTTTCAGATATTCAATCCTTTGAGCCTATATTATGTTTGTTGTTAGAAATAAAATAAAGGTGATTAAGAAATGAAGGGAATTCTTAGGGGTGATTGGGTTCTGCTGAGAAATGGTGTCCTCTTGGAAAACTAAGTTATTTCACACGGGAAGTTGGAAGCCCCACCAGAGGCCCAGCAGTCTTGATTTCATCACGGGGACAAGGGCTCTCCTTCCTCTCACCTTTCCTGGCTCAGACACTAGAAGGCCTCTTTGTGAGGGTAAAGAGCTCTTCTGCTTAGCAAACCACTCTCTCTTAGCAAACAAAACGTCTCTTCTGGAATGGCATATACCCTCTCAAAAAGCCATCCAACTGAAAAGCTGAGAATGGTATCTTGTGGCCCTTTAGAGGAAGGCTGTGGGTGCCCGCTCACTGTCTGTTTGTAGGGAGAGATGCTTGGCTGTCCAGATTCTGAACATGCAAGGCACTGAAGAATCAGGGCCAAGGGATCAGCAAAGACAACAACGATTTAAAAGTGTACTGTCTCTGGTTTGCTGTTTTGAATTGAGTACTTCAGAGACAGTGTGACATTTTTTGATGCCACAGTGTGGATAACAGGTCTGTGGTTTTCACTCTTTAACAATCTCTGAGACACCAAGGGTTTACAATATATTAAAAAGAACAGATTTCTTTTCAGATGAAATGTTTGAAGCGATGCTATTAATAATGCTGTGTATAACAGCTGCTTTCATTTATTCATAAACACTGCACAAACATCTTACTCGTCAAAAGGAAAGGATTTTCTCTTACTATAAAAAGATAATTAATTCAGGCTGGATACACTTAATGGTGCATTTGCCATCTGGGCAGAACAAACAAAACACTAGAAAAGAATTGTGCGAAGGAAAAATATCAAAATAGGGAACAAAAATATATACTTAAACTTTATTTTGATTTCTGGAATAACAAATAATTTCCCCTCCTGAGTATTACCCTCATGCTTATTTAAAAAGACATATAAAAGGCAGGACGGTGTAGAAAAATACACAGCTGAACTTGGGCACAATTTCAGGTCATTTCTTTCTTTTTTACTGTATACATTAGTGACAAAAGTAAACAATTTCTGAGGCTCCATACATCTTCTCCTCTATGCCCAAGATAGATAGACAATCTTACTGAATAAAATAACATAGATAAAAGTGTTTTGTGAACTTTAAAGAATCACAAATGACTATCGGCCGGGTCCTTAGAGAGAAGAACCCACAGACATGTTGGGGGCTTTGACTTAATAGTTGAACTCAGGAATCTGAGCTTGTCTGATAACCACGATCTGGAAAACCTTTGAAAACACTGGTGCTTGTCCTGCAGGACTGTCACCAGGCTGACCCTCTCACTTCACCCTCAGAAGGCCAGTTGTCTCTTCTTCAGAAACTCAGCTTCCTGCTTATGCTCTCCATGAAACCACCCACTTTGTCCCTTCTGAGCCTCCACAAGGCCAAACTCTGATTATATGCAGTGTCATTGTGCTTCTAGAACTTTCTCTGCCTGGCCACATCTTGGCTCTGTCCAGCTCCCTCTTTAACTTAGCAGAACACTGTCCTCATGCTCTTGAGCCTTCTCCTCAACCCTTTCTCCTGATGAGAAGAATTGGCTTCCCTTATAGCAAACCGTTCTCAGTGAAGAGTGATGTAAAAAGTCCTTCTTTCAGGAAGTCTTCCCTGTGGCAAAATCTGGAGCAAAGACCAATTCTGAAGGTCCCCAGAACCTCACAAATTAACCCTGAGGACTTTCACGTCCAGTGTGCCGTGAACACTAGGGTGGATGGAGAACAAGTCATTACTTGTGAGGTTGCTTTCCATTAAGAAATTTATTAAATGACTGCAGTGATGGGACTCGTGTGAGATGACGCTCTTAGACATGATTTAATGAAGCTGAGATTAAGTGGTGAGATTTTTTTACTCTTCAATTCTTCCCTTGACAGTAGAAAATTCTGCCTCCATTTTTTTTTTCTATGCATGTCAGAATAAGAGTCCTATTTGTTTGGGGATGTGTAGCAGAGCCTGTGACACCAGTAGATACTGAGCTTGCCAGATGTCCCTTTCAATCCTTTCTCCTGCCCTGGACATTCTAGACTTCCTTTCATAGAACAGGCAGCAACCCAGCAAGCACTCAGCTGGTTAGGTTGATAACGTGACTTTCCTGATGAAATGGAGACGCCATGGGGGCTTTTTCACAGCTATAACTGTATCCCTAGCAAAAACTTTCCATGTAGTAGGCTTTCAATATACAAGGTTCCAAAGTGATTGAGAGTGAATTCCTTAACTAAGGAAGAACATTGATAAAATAATGATGATGAAGACGAGCAACTTGCAGGCTGACCCCAGATTCCCTGATGATAATATTCTGACAGGGTTGACACTGTTTACAAAAACCAAATGTACAAATTTTATTTCTGCTTCTGAGTAGCCATTTCTTCTCCAGTACCTTTGAAGCTTATTTTAAAATTCAGTGCTGAAGAAATAAAATGTAAGATATAAGCATGGCTCTTTATTAATGATTGGTTAATTTTTCTCCTCTGTTGCACCAGAGAATGCAGTTATGATTAGGGGACTTCTTTAGGCAGTAAGTGTATCTTGCATAATAAATTCCCTAGTGAGGACCCAGTTGTCAAGAGACACATTCAGAAACACTGAACCAAATCTCTATGGAAATGGGGTTTCCTTTGGGCCAAAGATTTACATATGGCATGCATTGTTAATCATAACTCACCTGTGTGTGCAGAGAGCTATGCTAAGCCTGATATAACAGGAATAATAAATAATGCATTCTCTAATATTTCTGTGTTGGGTAGGGGCAGAGAGGAGGGAACAATCACATTATTTGATTTTAGATTGTATATTTTGGTTTGATATTATGAATTATTGAATCTGATGACCATAAACAGTAACACATAAAAATAATAACAGTAACACATGAAAACATACAAGCTCATTTTTTCAACTACATCATCATCATCAGCAGCAGCAGCAGCAAAACAATCCCCTTGATTCACTTTTTAAGACAAAGAATAAGATTATATACAAGTAATTGGGTTTTACAGATTCTCCTGACTCCCTAATTATGCACTGGTTCTGCTACGTTTCCACGTCCCCTGCCTTCTAGTCCTTTCTGTTTATTGCCAGGGAGAGTGTAGAGATGATTTTTTTCTCATATATCTTTTCTTTGCCTGCAATTAAGAAAATGCAAGAACATAATTCATCAATGTGACTTAGAACTGTAAATCTAATTTTTATTAGGCTTTACTTTTACTATTTGAGGTTCGATATATGATTTTGTACTTTCTTTATTATATACAGTGTGTGGCAAATATTTTCAGCATTTAGGGCAGTGGGCCAGTAAACACAAGATCCTCTAGGCAAATGACACTGGGCAGGTAAATCAGGGTGGAGATCCAAAAAGGGAAGTTTTTAAAATAAGATTGATTTTTTTAAGAGCACAAAGCATGAAAAATAAAATTTAGACTGTTGTAGATGATTGCTTTGTTTCTTATGCTAAGAAGGTTTTAAATAAATTGCAAACTTATGCCCTGAGTTTCCTAAGATCGATGGAATTGATCCAGACTAAGTAGCTAATTTGAGAATAATTCTAATTTTGAGCACTGGAAAATTCCAAATTTTATATCCACTGTATGTATATATGTCCAAAGTGGCCACTATAAAATATTATGGGAATACAACTGGTATTACAGGTTTTCCTTCCCCCATCCCAATGAACTTCAGGTGGAGGACTAACCTTTATCTAAGGATTAGATTGGAAACTTAGAATTAAAAATGGTATTTTTTTAAATTTTTAATACTTTGCACCAATAGAAACACTAGAGAACTTGCTAATTTTACATAGTAAAATGCAAAGAAATTATAATAAAGTGTCAACAGAAAATTACAAACCATTATTTTCTGTTCAATAACTTTGACTCTTACAAATCAGCAGTTTTTTATTTTACAACATAAAATGCCTCTACTTGGGAAAGCATGAATATAAATGTTGTTGAAACCATCAGTTTTCTGTTCACTGTTCTGCCTTTCAGTGAAGGTGTGTTTATTACCACTACCACCTAAGATTTACTGGTACACACTGTACACCAGGCATTGCAGTGTCTTTCTTTAATAACAAGTGCTGTATATATCTATAACTAAATTACAGCATAAAGCACAGGGTGCCCATATAGTTCCTCTTTTGTTGGTAGCCAGTTCCTTCTCTGGGTGCTACAGTGACTGGAGAAGTAAATGACAGCCAGTAGTCAGTGGTTCCATACATGCACACCAGCCCAGCTACGGCATTGGTCAGGCCCCGCCATGCTATATAATTAGACTATACCCTTTAAACAAACGCTGCCCCCCAACCCCGTTTTCCTATAGGAGGTAAAATATCAGTGCAATTTCAATTGATGAAAAGTACACAATTTTATTCACAATTTTACATTATGTTACAAATATGTACAATTTCAACAATAAATTAAAAATAAATGAGGAAAATAAGTCTGAGAAAAGTGCATAGTTAACTTTGTCACTGACATTTTCCTGCCTTCATTTCTAGGAGTTCACATGATCCAAGATCCTGATCATCTTCTTGCTGGAACATCTTGTTTTGGCAGCACATTTGAAATGCAGAGTGTTTTGTTGCTTCTAAGCATCGGGGAAGATGTTTGTTAATAACAGAAACACTGAAGTGGATCAATTGCAATCAAGGAGGGTTGATGAACATTTGTACAATATGTTTAAAACTCTCCAAAAATTCTGTAATATTTTTTTCCTCCAGTTCTTCACATACTTTGCATCCAGATTCTGTTATATTCTGCCAAATAAAAAGGAAGAATTACATTGGTGAGTCTAATATACTTCTTTCTTGGAATATTACATTATCTAAACAATATGGTGAGGTCTTGAGACATGAGAGCTTTGACAAATTAATATCATAGAAAGAAGAACTATGAGAAAAGAGAATTGGGACTTTTATGATATAGCTTATTTTTCCTATAATGGATTAAGGTCATTGAAAAAAGTAAGCCATGCCTATCAGACTTCCTGCTTAGAGTGCTTCCACGGTTTCTCGCCATCTCCTCCTAGCATGTTATAGGGCCCTTTGCTTCCCTGCATCCTGCATGAGCCCTCCAAGAGCTGTTCCTATTCCTGTCACCTTTCCCCACTGCTTCAAATGTTATGCTCTGAGAACATCAAGTGAGCTCCATTACTCCTCCCCAGGCACACAGCATGCTATTGAAGGCCTCTCTGCTTCTGTTTTTCTGTTAATTTCTTCCTATTTTAGCTACTGCCATGTACATCTAAGAATATTCAACTGTTGTCTCCTTTAGGAAGGTTTTTCTGAATCCCTGAGCTCGCTTAGGGCTCTGCTCCATGTCCTGTCTCTCAGAACTCCTCGTTTAGACCTCTCTCATATCCACTTCCCATTTTCCATTCACTTGATGAAGATTTACCCCTTTTACACTACTAGACTCTAAGCTCTCCCAGGAGGGCAAGGTCATTCATTCCTGCTTCTCCAGCATTAAGCATAGGACCTGGCACACAAAAATCACTCAATCCTTATTGGTGGTATTAATCCACGTAGGCAAATACTACAAACTCTTGTAATTCCAGCACACTATCATCAATAACCAGAATGTTCCAAATGTAGCAATCCTGAACAAACATTTCAGAGGTCATCTGAACCAACCATGAAGGCTATGCCAGCAAAAATTAGAAGTAGATTTTATAATTAGGCACTTGGAATTCAGATTCACCAATATTTGTCAAGCACATACCATATGCTAAGTACTGTCAGATTATATATACTACTGTCCTATTTGATCTTGAAAATAATCATCAGAGAGGAAGGGGAAGATATTAAGTGATCCAGCTCCGTTGACATATTCAATTGAAATTCTCCACATCCAGGTCTTTCGATTGTGCAGACCTGCCCCCTTGAACCACTACACACATTCCACACCATGTCCTAAGGGAGCTGACTGTCCACAAACACTTTAAATGGTTCCACATTGATACTGTCATGGGTTATCTGTTGTATGATTCACTTTCTCCACTGATAAGATGGAGGTAACATCTTAAGTGTTAAGCAGCCATAACTGTGTTTGCAAATGTATTGGCTATTGAGTACATGTGAGCCATTATTCTGAAAATTGGCATAGAACACTGAGAAAAATGCCTTACCCTTTGAAGCTGACATTCTGAGGGGAAAGAAATGGACACTATTCATTAAGTAAAGTGCATGATATGTCAGGAAGTGGGACGTACACAGGAGGGGAAGGAGACTGCTAAAAGGGGGAAGAGCTTGCATTGAAAATAGGTGACATTTAAGCCAAAGACCTAAAGTAGCCTGGCATTTTTAGGGAAAAGTCAAGGTCTCCAGCCACGCTCCCTCTGAATCACTATTCTTTCAATTGCCTCTGCCTGAACATACTTCCCCAGACAACCTGAGGCTCATTCCTTCCCATCGTTGTCACAGGTCATCTTAGGGAAAACTTATCTAAGCCTACAGCCTTTACCTGTTCCCTTTACCTGCTTTCTTTATTGCCATTGGACTTAATGAATAACTGACTTTTTACTCATTTGCTTCCTGATTGGTTGACTTCTATTTCCTCCCTCCTTAAAAGCAGGGGTCATGGGTGTTTTTTCAGACTGTATCCTGAAGGCCAAAATGAATTTATTAAATGGCCTAATTTGACAACACCCTCTCTGTTTCTGTCATTTTGCCTTTGCCACAAGTGTTCTGCCATGAAAGCCATGATTCTTTGTGCTTTAGGACTCTGCATGGCTGGTTTCCCCATCTACCATGGCTCCATAGCATCAGTTCTCTTAGAACCCTCTATTGCTTACGTTGCCTGGCATGTCCTAAACTGTACTCCAGTCATTAATCATTAATTATGATTATCCTTTTCCAGCATAAGGAGACAGACTCCGCTTGCTTAGAATTCTGGCTTCCCATTTTACTAGCTACACGAATTGGAGCAAATGATTTAAGCTCCAATACTCCAATTTCTTCACCTTTCAACTAGAAATGAGGTTCACTGGATTTTAAAAAAGATATAAGGATAATAATCTCACAGATTTATTTTGAGGAGTAAATGAATATCAGTTTAAAGCTTTAAGAACAGTGTCCGGAAGTGGGACTGAGTACACAGTAAAACCCCAATGTGAGTTACTGTTACTGATGTTGAACATGTGATTATGTACTTAGATTAATGCTTATTTAAAGCACCTGTTTGGTTCACCACTGTGACTGCAGCACTGAAGCACACTGCCTGGCATTATTTAGCAAATGTCTATTTATCAAATCAGTCAATGAACAGTTGAGGACCATGTGTATACGCCAGGTATGGTGCCACTTTTGGATGCCACTCCAATAGAAATGAATTCTTTCTCCTGAGCACTGCTGAGAAAGACCTGCTTGTCTACTAATAACTTCTTGCAATCAAGCCAAAAACATCAGATGTAGCGCTGTAAAACTATTGGATAACTCACCCCATTAGAAGATAAACTACTGTTTGCTAGGAGGATCAGGTTTTTTACTGTTTCCTCTATGTCTCCATCTCTGGACTCATGTGAAATGACTTCTAGCTCCAGGAGAAAGCAGTTCATCGCTGTTACTTTGCAACGGGGCTAGAAGTAAGAGTTACAAAGAGACATTTTGAAAAAAAAATTGCATTATTCATTTTTACATTGATGTCATTTTGATTATATAAAAAATCAAGCCAAATATTTTATAAAGACATATGATACTCATAAAAGATTTTACATAGGAAGCAGCTTAATTTTTTTTCTTTTTGGCTTTGAAATCAAAACCAAACCAACCAATCACAAATAAGAAAGATGGTGCTATTATGCAGGAGAAAGAACTTAATACCAGAAAACATGAATGTACTCAGCACATTTCCCTTGTGGAAAGTGTGATAACACTGGCCCTAGACTTTCTAAACCTCAGTACAGATAGTCATTGAGAATTTTGGAAACAGACATATGTTAACATTTTAAATAGTGGTAGCTGCTAATCACACTATTCCTAAAATTTCCCAAGTTTTAGAGGCAGAAGGGACTCTAAGAAATATAAATATAAAGCAGGAATAGTGTTGATTCAAAAGTTGGCCAAATCATAAAGGGATCTCAAAGTATACTTTCCATGACAAAAACCTAAACTTAAAAGAACTTTTAAGGTTCTTAAAGGTACCCAATGCCTGGTACAATATCTATATCCCTGCAAGCGCTTATTAAATGCTCACTAAATGGATGAATAAATGGACACCCCATGTGCCCACCCCTCCAGTATCCTTACCTCCCACTGCAGCTGCTCATGATTGAAAGGTAGACCCTATTACCATATAAACAATAATAAAACTGAGGTCCAGAAATGTTAAGTGACTTCTGAAGTAACACAGGTAAGAAGTGGTTGAGTCAGTTTAAATCTAAATTTCAATTTCCCCACAGCCCACGAGTTGCAAGGTTTTCTTCTTGCAAAAAAGTAACCCCAGGATGCTGAGTGTTGGTGGTTCTCTGACTGATTTCTGCTTAGAAAAAAAAAATGCAAAGAAAAACAGAAAACGTGCTGAAGCCAGGGGAGGGAGACAGGAAACAATTTCCATGTTCAGCAGCACTACCCAAGTGTTTGATGGGCATCTGCTTTTTCTGTTTTTTAGCTACAGATTCTTTTCAATGCACATGAAATGTTAGTGGGGGAAAAGATTATTTCAGCGAATTTCTAATTGAAGAATAACAGAGAGGACACTGTTTTGAACACATACAGCACGAGTGTGTTTTTTCACAAAGTGAAATTGAGAACTCATTTCTTGGTTTTAGTGATAATCCGGGGAGAAAGACTAACAGCAAAACCAAAAACCTACAAGCCCCAGGCAATGTCGGTATATTAATGAAACCAATTCATCATTTTTGAATTCTGGTAAGTTTTATGAACTATGTGTATATTCCCTCATACAGAGAACTTAATCAGAGTGCTTTTCTGACATATGTAAAGATCCATGCAAAATACGGAACACGAATGCTCCTAAGCAGTTTGTACAAAATGTGATTTGAGATGATGGTAAATGACAGCCTAGAAATAACTGATGTGGGGATACTTTTAAATTGAATCAGTTAACCTGACTTTAGCATCATGATTTGACCACATCACAAAAGCATAGGATATATTATGTTTGACATTGATGGAAAAGGCTTTTGTGTATGTGTGTGTGTATTTTGATTTGGCACCATTATAAAAACAGTATTTATGTAGCTCTTTGTCCCCAAGCCCCACAACCTCAACAATCACTTGTAAAATTTGCAGATGTTAAGGACATAGCATATGTTATAAAAACACATCAAAGTTATATTTAAAAGCTATACACACTTCAATTTTGAAAATATGCTTCTTAGATATTTGAAAACTGAAAAGAAAAGCAATTTTGAAAAAGAAAAGAACTACTTACATGGACATCACTCTCTGTATATAAAGTAGCATCCATATGTAAAGACTGAAAAAAAAACAAAATCACATAACATGTAAAACTTTGCACTGATTCAGATATCATGAGAGCAATTTACTGAAAACAGTAAATTAAGCCATTTAAATCATTTTTATAACTTTGGCATAATTTTAGATTCCTATGCAATTTTGAGAGAAAACAGAGGGATCCTGTGTACCCTTCACCAAGTTTCCCCCAATGGCAATATCTTGCAGAACCATAGTACAATATTTCAACCAGGGAATTGATAATGACATAATCTACCTTCGTTTTTCAACTTTACCAGTTTTATGAACAATAATGTGTGTGCATACATGTGAGTGAAGTTCTATGTGATTCTGTCTCATAGGTTCACATAACCATACCATAGTTAAGATACAAAACTATCACCATTAACCCAAAGATCTTCCTGCTATTCTTTAATAGTCAAACCCTTCTTCCTTCCCACATATCATTATTCAACCCACTACAGTAGGATATGTTTTCTTCTATTCTGTAATTTAAGGCTTCCTATGTCATTATACTTGAAGAAGCTTCTTATAGATAGCATAGCTAGCCTGTGTTTTCATATCAACTCTGCCTTTACTTGGTGGAACCTCTCCTCTTCTTCTATGAAGCCAATATCAGGAATGCTGGATTTTTGTTGTTGTTGTTGTTGTTGTTGTTATTGTCCCCAAGGTCCCTGAGCCTCCATGCCTCCTTTTCTCTCTCGTATTCTATCTTCAGGTTAACTGTCTTCCTTTTGTCATAACCATTCTGCTAATGAGCCTTTCTAGTTTGTTCTGTGGTTCAGCTATCCCAGTTTTTAGTTTTATAATTTCCAACTGGTTCCTTTTATATTTTCTAGTTATTTGCTAAGGCTTTCTATTATTTTTATTTGTTTCAAGGATATTTGTAGCTGCTTTTTGAAGCACGTTTAAAATGGCTGCTTTGAATCCATGTTAGATAATTCCAACATCTGGTCCAACTTGATTGTGATGTTTCTCTTCTTGGTACAGTGATTTTCATTGGTATTGTGGCATTGTGACTATTATGTTAAGAGACCCTGGTCCTGTTTAAATCTATTTTAACATGCAGTCAGCTTCTTCTGATTTGGCAAATTCTGACCTATTTCTGTATGTTGTGATTCCAATGGCAGCTAAGTTTTCAGGATCTTTTTGGTGTCACCTGCTGCAGTAGGGGGAACTTTTCTTGGCCAGGCTGCCTGGTTTCTTAGGCAGAAGATGGGATACCCGCAGCCCCTGGGATAAAGTGTACCACTTCAGACTGTTGTTTTGTGTGGGGCCCCTGCTCATCATAACTGAACTGATTCTGGTGGTATTTCTAGGTGGAAGAAGGGGGTCTTTAGTCTACAGACAAGACATCCTTCCTTGAAGTCAGGTCCACCCTGTGTTCCCTTGCAGGTGGCTACTAAGATACCTGGCAGTCTGACCTGTGAAAATTGGAACTTTTCAGGTAGACCACTTATAAATTAAATTTTAAAGATAACCAGAACCTAAAAAAAAAAAACTATGGAAAAACATGTATTTTCAGACTCTAAAATGCTAATAAATTTACACAAAAAAATATTATTCTGTAATGTGACATTTTTCATTAAGGTTGATAGAAAAATATACGGAGAAAAAATACACCATAGCAATTATACCAGCTATTTATGGAAAATAAATGAGTACTCACTTGAATAAGATTTTCAATTTTTTGCAAATCCTTTCTTACATCTTCCCAGTTAGCCTCTGTTTTAGGAATACCTGCACTAATACAGCTGGGGGGGTGGGTGGAAACAAAGCACAGCATTTGAATGATATATTACTGTCTTACTATAAGCAACAGAGCAATCAAAATGTTTTTATTCTGACCAGTGTGAAGGTCAGTGTCATCCCAGTCTCTGTGCATTCAATAGTCTTGTAGATGAACTTAAGCACTGAATACAGAGTGCACCTTGACACTTTAGGTCAATTCCAGGACTGGCCAACCTCAAGGATTACCAAAAAGTCAAATTAATGAAGCAGAAACAATGCAAGATGTATGGCCATGCTCAATAACTGTTCTTGAATGAGTTACTAGTTTTCTTTAGGTAGAGGCTCCAGGAGCCTACTATGCAGATATTAAAACAGGCAACAATCATTTTCATGTAACAGCTGTATCAGTAAATGTTCTTTCCAGTATGTTCAGTTCCATGGTGCTCACACTATTCTTATGCTTGTAGCAGTTTCCTTCATACACTTTGCAAACTTTAGCCTGATCTGGGCTAAATGATTATATTCTTAGTAACTTTGGTAAAATTTGAAATTTAATATCCAGATGAAAGATACTGACCATGTAACTGTGGAATAATTGCTAGAGTTTTGGGAAAACAGTACTTTTTTTATGGATCTTATACAAAAGCATGATAATCAAGGCTAATCTAGCTTATGAGGAACATTTACCTGAACAAACCTATGGTTCCCCATACTATGAAGGTATTAGTGGAGGAAAAGTGAACTGGGATAAGATTAGACAATAATAAATTTGGTGCTGGTGGCCAACTGGGTGCAGTTGGAAATCAAAGGTGAGGGGAAAATACTTATTTGGAATATTAGGAAAATGGAGAAATGCACAGTTGGCTGATCACCCAGCCTCCTCTGAATTGCTATAATCTAGCCTATTATACTACAAATTCTTCGTTCCTAGAGATAAAAGCAAACTGACCATTTTTCTGGGGACAAGTTTCATGGGGAAGACATTTAAGGACAATAGTCATAGCCTTTGATATGCTGATTATGATATCTAAAGGTAAAATTACCCCAAAATGAAGACACGAATGCCAGCCTCAGTTAAAAAATGAGTATTTAGAAGTAAACACACATAGCACTGGATGGAAGTGATTCTCAAATGTGGTTTCTGAAAAATATAATCATAGACAGATATTAAAATATTTTTAGTTGAAAAGTTAAATGTAAAATAATATTTTATATTTCTAGATTCAAAAATGTAAAATTATCATTTCACAATTAATATTTTGTATCAAATCATGAAACTAGAATTTATTTTTTTCTTTATCCCCCACCTCCAAATCTATCTGTATGCTCAAAATTCTTTTTTTCTAAACATTTATTTTTTTAGTTATACGTAGACACAATATCTTTATTTTATTTTTATGTGGGTGAGTGCTCTTCCTCTCTGCCACAATCCCAGCCCCTCAAAATTCTTTAATAAGTATTTCTCTGGATGCACGTTTCTGATAATCATTTAACAAAGTTTACATATTTAGTACTATACTTATATACTAACGTCACTTAATTTTTTCTATTATCTTTCAAATCCTGTCATCCTTCTCTTCTTTTTAATAGACCAACATATTTTATGCAGCACAGATTAATAACGTGCACTGATAACAGGTACACCAGTTATATATTAGTTTCATGCCACAATTTGAAAATTAATAACGTATTAACGTGATCACTTGGAAAAAACACATATGAATGGAATCAAATAAAGATGCTTTATTCTATTCTGAGAGCCTCAGTATAATAATTTTTCTCTGTGATTTAGGAAAATCATTTATCTCAGACATTCCCAAAGTTTCAATACTTTTGCCTACTCTTTGTGTTTTCAAAGCTTTTATAGTTCTGTGCTTCATTTGGTCTCCACAGAAGAGATGAATTATTCTCAGACCTTGCCCTCAAAGACTGCACAATTTACTGCATAGACAGACATTTTAAGAACAAAATAGAGTGGAATGAGTGAAATAATGCATTTACAATGACACGAAGGGCCTTGCAAAATTGTTAATCTTGTTTTGAAAACTCCATTTAATATATTTTCAAAATAAAGACAATCCTAGGTGAACAGATATCTGTGACACCCCAAGGTCTTTAGCAACTAATCGTATAGCTTGTTATGAAGTGTCTGAGATTCAAATGACCTTTGAAAGAAAAGTGCATATGCTATTTTCCTCCTTTTTTTTTCTTACCGAAATTCTCATTACTCAATGCCAGAGTAAGTCCTCAGGTATTGAAGAAGAGCCTGCTATGGTAATGGGTTTCCAGCAGCCATCCATCCAGAATACCTCCTGTAATACAATTCCAGGTGAAGGACAATCCATTAAAGTCATGAGGAGACGTTTTTGGAAAGAAAGGGAAGGAATTGATGTTTACTGAGCACCTACTTTTTAAAATGAAATTCCCTGCTATATGCATCACATTTAATCTTCATGAAAGTCCTGTGGGGTAAGGTAAGCAGTTTGGGTAAGCTGCCCCAGCCCCACATCCTGTATGTGACAGCCAGGATATGAGACCTGGTTTGTCTGATCATAAAGAGCGAAACATTTTTATTATATTGTGTTCCTGAACTGAAAATTTCTGAAATAACATTAGTGAAAAGTAGATGCATGTAAATTCTTAGATTTGTATGACTACTCTTTGACAATCCAATTTCCAATAGCAGTAGCTACTTCTACAGACATTGAACAGATGTGTTCAGTCATTTGAGAATTTCTTAAGTATAAAGTTCTACTTTTTCTAATTTAAGGTATGGGAAGAATGCAAGAATCAAAATATATTCACCTCCATTTTATTAAAATATTTAAAATTAAAAAATAATTCATTGTTGTCCTATAGAAATAATATATAAAAATAATACAAATTTATTGGCCTCATCCACAAAAATATCAAAATCTGCCATATCCCCTGAGATAAGTATTTACTACAACTATTTCATAAGGTCAAACAGTTAAATTCTTACATTTTTAAGATATTTCCAAAACATAAAATGATTGCTTTAAAATCAATAATGTACTAGTTTAAAAGGAAAAACTACCATTTATCAAGGTATTAAACAAGATACTACAAGGATATGTTTGAGGAATATTTTCCTCAAGAATGTATTAAACCTAATTTTCCTGTACATCTGACCTAACCGGCCCATTGATCGATTTATTTAAAACAATAAAATTGCTGTTCTTATTGTTCTCATTTCATAATCATACTCTGTCTACATTATTTCAGAGTTCAACATTTCTTACATCATTTTCACAATTATTTTTGTAATTTCATCCAAATCATCTTAAACTCTCTACATTTTTTTATAGTATCCCAAATTCTACATTTTAAAAAAATACTATTTATTGTCTTGGGATTGAATAATGAATGCTAAGAGTGATGTAATGTTTAGTAAGGCCTTAGGAAGCTACTTTTTAATAGACAATGAGGCTTTCTTTCCCTCCTGGATTTCTGTAGCAGTGACCCCCTCTGCCCTGTCTGGCTACCTCCTGCTGGCATGAAGAAAAGAAGACTAAGTGCTTTAGCCAGAATGTTCCATAGTTGCAAGGGGTTCTCAAGCATGACGATGGAATGCGGTAGGAATGTCCTCAGAAGCTTCTAACAACATAACCATAACAGAAAACCATGTAGCTGAAAAAGGAAAACATGTTATAGCTTTGTCTGGCATCTGGCAAAAGGATGTAAGTATCTTTGTGGTTTGAAACAGCAAACCTGTCTTTCACCAGCAGCTTTGGAGGTATTCAACTTGCCACATACTATCATTCTATGGAGCACCAATTCTCCTAAGAACATATGTGTTTGTGAGTGGATGTAATCCCTGGGGGTTAAAAAAAACAAAACAACATTTTTTTTCCTTTTACTAAAATTTTTATTTATTTATATTTTAAATTGTTCTAATTAGCTACATATGACAGTAGACGGTAGAATGCATTCTGACACATTGTACACAAAGGGAGCACAACTTCTCCTTCCTCTGACTGAACATGTTGTAGAGTCACACAGGTAGTGGGATCATACAGGTATCTAGGGTAATAAGGTCCGATCCATTCTACCATCCTTCCCCACACTCCCTCCCCTCCCCTCTGCACAATCCAGAGTTCCTTCATTCTTCCCCACTCCATCCCCATTATGGATTAGCATCTGGTTATCAGAGAAAACATTTGGCCTTTGGTTTTTAGGGGATTGGCTTAATTTGCTTAGCATGATTTTTCTCCAGCTCCATTCATTTACCTGCAAATGCCATAATTTCATTTTTCTTTAAGGCTGATTAATATTCCATTGTGTATATGTATCACAGTTTCTTTATCCATTCATCTGTTGAAGGGCATCTAGGTTAGTTCCATAGTTTTTGTGAATTGAGCAGCTCTAAACATTGATGTGGCTGCATCATTAAACTGAGGAGTGGAATAACTAGGTCAAGTGGTGGTTCCACACCAAGTTTTCTGAGAAATTTCCATACTGCTTTCCATAGTGGTTGCACCAATTTGCAGTCCCACCAAAAATGTATGAGTGTACCCTCCCTGCCCCACCACCTGCATCATTGTCAACAATTATTGTTGCTTGTATTCTTAGTAATTGCCGTTCTGACCAGAATGAGATGAAATCTTAGAGAAATGCAAATCAAAACTTCGCTAATTGCTATAGATAATGAACATTTTTTTTTCATGTTTGTTGTTCAATTGTATATCTTCTGTGAAGTGTCTGTTCAGTTCCTTAGCCCATTTATTGATTGGGTTATTTGTGGGTTTTTTTTGTTTGTTTGTTTTTTGGTATTGTTTTTTGAGTTCTTCATATATCCTGGAGATTAGTGCTCTATCTGAGGTGCATGTGGTAAAGATTTTCTCCCATTCTGTAGGCTCTCTCTTCATGTTATTGTTTCCTTTGCTGAAAAGAAGCTTTTTAGTTTGAGTTCATCCCATTAATTGATTCTTGATTTTACTTCTTGGGCTTTAGGAGTCTCGTTAAGGAAGTCAGGTCCTAAGCCAACATGGTGAGGATTTGGTTGTACTTCTTCCTTTGTTAGGTGCAGAGTCTCTGTTCTAGTGCCTAAATCTTTGATCTACTTTGAGTTAATTTTTGTGCAAGGTGAGAGATAGAGGTTTAATTTCATTTTGCTTCATATGGATTTCTAGTTTCCAAGCACCATTTAGTGAAGAGGCTATCTTTTCTCCAATATATGCTTTTGGCATCTTTGTCTAGTATGAGATAACCGTATTTATGTGGGTTTGTCTCTGTGTCTTCTTTTGTGTGCCATTGGTGTGCATGTCTATTTGGGGGCCAATACTATGATGTTTTTGTTACTATAGCTCAGTAATGTAGTTTAAGGTCTGGTACTGTGATGTCTCCTGCTTTACTCTTCTTGCTAAGAATTGCATAGGCTATTCTGGGTCTCTTATTTTTTCCAAATGAATTCCATGATTGTTTTTTCTAGTTCTATAAAGAATGTCATTGGGCAAAACTATCATTGTTTTATAAAACAGAACATGGTAATCATTTTCAATAAAGAGCCAAATAATAAACACCTTAGGCATTGCAAATCTTGTGGTCTTTCTCATTATTACTTAATAAGACCACTACAGTGAAAACAGCCATAGACAACACATGAATGAATGGGTTTGACCGTCTTCCAATACAACTTCCTGTGTCAATGGGTGATTGGGGCCTTGGATCTCCCAACCACCTACATTAGTAAAAAGTTCATTTGTTGATGATCCCTGAATCTTATGCATCCCTCCATCAGCCCTAATTTGAATATAGCTGAGAAAGTATATTTTTAAGTGTCATGAATCGTACTGGCATTTTTTTACACTAATTGCTTCTTTCAAATAAGAGACTCCCTCAAACACATTCTAAGTACAATATTAAAACTAAAACATAAATAATTATAAACTATGTTACCAGGGACTACTGCTAAATTTTCAAAAATTAATTCATAAAATTAAAAGACCTGAAGTGGGTATTTAATTATTTTATAATGTTGCACAACATATTCAAGGGCCTTGCTATGGTCTGCACTGTCCCTCAAAGGTTCAGGAGTTGGAAGCTCGGTCCTCTATGTGACAGTACCAACAAGTGGCTGAGTGTTTAAGAGGTAGGGACTGTGGGATGTGGTTAAGTTGCTGAAATTGTGCTTGTGGAAGGGGCTGATGTTCTCAAGGCCTCCAGCTGTTTCTGTGAGAGTGAGTTATTATAAAAGAACAAGCTTGACTCATGAATCCCTTGGGCTGAAAAGATGCTTTTTAGTTTGAGTTTCAGTTAGTCTCACCATGTGATCTCTTCTTCTTTAGGGCACCCTGCAATTGTGATGCCACCTACTATGAGGCCCTTGGCAAATGTCAAACTGATGGGACTACCCAATCTAAAACTTCCAGCCTCTGAAACAGTGAGCTAAATAAACCTCTTTTCTTTAGTAGCATCCAGCTTCAGGTGTTTTGTTTTAGCAACAGAAACAGACTATTATAGGCCTATAAATCTCACAGTATTAACAAAACAACAAAAACAAATGACAAGTCAGAATGTTTCTTCCTTTAAAAAATAGTATTTCATACATAAGTGTATAAAATACCTAAAAGCATGTTAAGAGTAGCATATATTACATAATTTTGGATTTAACTACATTGGGCCCATTCTCACAACCACCAGCTTCTTAGCTGAGCTTGCTTCCCCATACCACAGGTGCCTTGGTCCCTGCAATGCTTTCCCAAGTAGATACTAACATCCCAAAATACTTTGTCTTTCTCCAACATTCATTTTGCCAATTTCAAATTCCAATCTGTTAAGTATTTGTGAAAAAAAGTAATGACTTTATCATTTCATGAGCTCTAAAAATTACAAAATCTGAAATCATACCTGCTACATTATATGATTACAAATCAACAATAATAATATCAATCTACTGAATGTTGAATTACAGTAATTTCAAAAATACTGAGTCATCAATCTGTGCAATCTGTTAATTATTTCTTACTCTCCCTAACATCGATCCCTACATCTTTAAGTCAAGTTTAATCAGGGTACCATGTCAAGATAATGAAATATACACACTTTAAGCAAATAGTATGCAGAGTTCTAACAATCCATGTTTTCATGAAATCAGCACCACTACCATAATATGGACCGTATTGATAATCACAAAACATTCTCTGTGCAGTCTTTCCATCTTCAATCCCAAATCAGTTACTGATTTAATCATGCATTTTCAAATAGCAACGAAGAAGGAACATCATGGATAATGATGTGGAAAAAGGAAGAAGCAGCAAGTCAGGCAATGGTTATTGTTTTATTTGGGTAT